CTGAAGACTCGGTGCGAGGCGGGGTGGTAAAACTGCCAGCCAGACGCATCCGGGACAAAGCCAAGAAAGACACAGGGAGCAGTGCGGGAGGAGAGCTTGTCCGCAGACGTGTCGCGAACAAAAGCTCGGGATCCCCAGACACGGAAGCGTGACGCATCGCCAACCTCCCCCGTCCACAGCAGTGTGGGCGAGGTCTCCGGAGCGGAGACACGGGGCCAGAGGTTGAGCTGATGCGCAGCGTACCGGACCGCAAACGGCCACAGAAAGTGGGGGGCAGCCGCGTGGACTAAGGAGGTACGAGCGACCTCCATGACCAAGCCAATGCGGCGCTCAGCAACCCCATTCTGCTGTGGAGAGGCCGGGAGCGTGAACGACTGGCGAATGCCGTGCTCGGCACAGTAGGCTGCCAGGAGGTCGGAGGAGAACTCGCCACCTCTGTCAGAGTGCAAGCGCAGAACAGGAAACTCCGAGCGAAAACGCTCTCGCAGCTGAAGACGAGCTCTGCTGATCTAGGGGATCAGAACATCAGGGACTTCACCCTTGGTGCGCAAGGGGAAGACCGTGGTGTAGCGCGAGTAGTCGTCAACGACGATCAAGAAGTACCTCTCCTGGCCCTGACCACGGACGCGGGCTGGGCCCCACACGTCCATGTGGAGCGTCTGCAAAGGAGCAGTCGTCGGGGGGAACGAGGAGGAGTGAGGGGCAGCGCGCTGCCGCCCCTCGACACAGGGAAGACAAGGAGGAGCAAGGGAGGGTGGGAGGGGAGGGAGTACCCGAGGAAGACCAGAGACAAGGTACCGGGCGTGCATGCCCCGAAGGCGCTGCACTGACGGGTGACCAAGTCGGTGGTGCCAGAGGACAGTCTTGTGCGCTAGAGAGCGACACGAGCAGGGGGCAGAGAGCTGACCTGACGCAGACGCAGACGCCGCTACCTGAGGGGACTCAGTGGTCAGTGTGTACAGGTCCGACCCCGGCTGCCGAGTGAAGGTAGCCAGGTGACGGCCCGTCCGAGCACACGTGCAGTGTGTCACACGCTCGTAGGCAGGGGTGAACTAGTGAACACCCTCATCCTGAAGCGCACAACCCGCCACCAAGTTCGTAGAGAACTAGGGGAGGTGGAGACCTGACAGTGTGCCCGACGGGACAGCAGGACAAGGAAGGAGGGTGGAGGAGGTCGCAATGACCGGACCCCCAGAGGGGTCAGCGAGCGAGACAGCGACTGGTCGAGCAAGGGGCTCAAGAGCAGTGCGGTCACGAAAGAAACAGCGCGAAGCGCCTGAGTCTAGAGTGAAGGTGTGCAGTGCCTCAGTGGACTCAGTAGCACCTGGGGTGGCGGACACACACGCACCTAGAGCAGTAGCCTCACCAGTACCTAGGGCAGCAGACACGCAAGCACCTAGGGCGGCAGCCTCACTCGTGCGGATGCCTGGGTCAGGCGGAACACTCAGGTACTGGTCCTCCTCTCCACTAATAGTCAATGCATACATTGCTTTGAGAATAACATCAAAATCAAGAGCATAGATATCGATATCCTTCTTGAGGAGATCAGCCCACTGAGGGAGCTCAGGAGCGTCAGGAAACTGAGCACGCCAAGCGTCATCTAGGCGAGAGAGGCAGCGCTGCAAAGTGTGCGCCCTCCCGCACGTCTGTCCCTTGCGGCGACCAGTGCGGATGACGTACATGCAGCTAAGGCTACCCCCCCCACCCCCGTGCTGTAAGTACCACTCACGAAGCTCCTGGGAGGACTGAGGGTGCTGCGCACTCTGGCCAGTGCCAGAGCCTCCACGACCACCACCGCCGCCTCCACCACGACCACCACCGCCCCTGCCGCCGCCACGTCCACTGCCGCCACCACCACCGCCCCCACCGCGGCCACCGCCGCCGCCGCTGCCTCCACCACCCCCACCGCTGCCACTAGCCCCTCCAGCCCCGCCACCGCCCCCGCCGCTGCCACCACCCCCACCACCGCCTCCCCCGCCGTCACCCCCACCGCCCTTGCCTCCCCTGCCCTTGCCGCTGCGGCGCCCGCTGGGAGCGGACGCAGAGCCGACCTGCTCAGCACCAAGAAGGTCGACAGCAGCAGCAGAGGCGACAGAGGGGAGGAGGGGGGAGGGGGAACACCCCTCGAAGAAAGGGGTGCGGAGGTCGCCACGAGAGGCACCTACAGCTACAATACTCTTCTCAGCTGCAAGTAGTTCCTTCTCTAGGGCGGTAATGGTGAGCTCAGTGGGGCAGCGAGCTAGGAAGTGGTCCCTGACTGTACGCAGAGTGTCAGGGAGGCGGGTGACTAGGTGGTAGAGAGTGAGCCAGAGCGGGGGAGGGTTGGAGGCAAGAAACTCAGCGCGCATGGCTGCACGGAAGCGGGCATCACTAGTACGGAGGTGAGTGATGAGGTCAGCGACTGTCTGGAAAGCGGACAGGTCGGGGAACAGGTAGGGAAGGGAGAGACGGCCTAGTGCAGCTGAGGCCGGGGAGGAGTAGCGCGCAACTACAGCAGTGTATAGGGCCTGCGCAGTCTGATGCTGGCCGAAGTGCTCACGCTCATCTACTGGCAGGGAGTTGCGAATAGCAAAGCGGGCGTGGGCATCGCGAGTCTGCCACTGCGAGCGAGCAGTAGCGGAAGCAGTAGTAGCAGGAGCAGGGACTGTGCCTAGTGCGTGATCGTACAGCGAGATATCCTCTCTGGCAGTGAGCTGGAGGAACAGGTGCAGATCATCCAGCCAGGTATCAAACTTAATCGGGCGGCCCTCAGAATCGAACGAGAGAACTGTAGGGCTAGCCATAGCTGAAGTAGCAGTAGCAGCAGTGGTGGTAGTAGCAGTAGCAGTAGCAGTGCTGTGCACAGGTAAGTAGGGCGCGGCTCGGCTAGGGCGGCGCGGCTCGGCTAGGGCGGCGCGACTCGGCTAGGGCGGCGCGACTCGGCTAGGGCGGCGCGGCTCGGCTGGGGCGGCGCGGCTCGGCTGGGTCGCGCGGTTCGGTTCGGGTCGCGCCGTGCGGCTCGGTCGTAGAGGGGCGAGCGCGGGAGGGCCGGTCGGGGCTAGCGCGGGGCCTGCAGGGGACGTGGGAGGCTAGCGTGGGGCCTTAAGGGGCCGTGAGAGGCTAGCGCGGGGCCTGCAGGGGCCGTGGGAGGCTAGCGCGGGGCCGACGGGGGCCTTAGGAGGCTAGCGCGGGGCCGATCGGGGGCCTTAGGAGGCTAGCGCGGGGCTAGCGTGGGGCCGACGGGGGCTTAGGAGGCTAGCGCGGGGCCGATCGGGGGCCTTAGGAGGCTAGCGCGGGGCTAGCGTGGGGCCGACGGGGGCCTTAGGAGGCTAGCGCGGGGCCGATCGGGGGCCGTGAGAGGCTAGCGCGGGGCCATACGGGGCCTTGAGAAGGAGGCGCTCGAGGCGCAGGAAAAAGAACGGCGGCGCACAAGGGCGCGGCTAGCGGAAACGGTGGGCCCTATCGTTTCGGTCCTAGGTGGAACATAGGCTCGTAATACCATGTCAGAATGAGAAACGAGAATGAGGAGTGACTAGCAGGAACAACAGTACAAATATGTCAAACCCTAATCTGGTGTACCCCTTATGGTGTGACCCACTACAGCCTAGAACCACACAAACATATAATGTTTGACAGTGGCCCGTACCCAGAGCTTGTTGGCTGCCTCATGTACCTGATGACCTGCACACAACCTGACCTTGCATACCCTCTTAGCATCTTGGCGCGCTATGTTGCTCCTGGGAGACACCGACCAGAGCACATGGCTGCAGCGAAGAGGGTGTTGCGCTACTTGTGCAGTACGTCGGGCATGGGGCTGGTGCTTGGAGGGCGGAGTCCAGTGGTCCTCACTGGGCACGCGGACGCTTCTTGGGCTGACGACCAGGCTACGCAGCGGTCGTCGCAGGGTTACACCTTCAGCCTTGGTTCCGGCTCTGTTTCGTGGCGGGCTACTCGCTCGTCTTCTGTTCCCGGCTCCAGTTGTGAGGCTGAGATCTACGCCGGGGCCATGGCTGCTCAGGAGCTTCGCTGGCTCACCTACCTGCTGACTGATCTTGGAGAGCCGCCTCGTTCTCCTCCAGTGCTGTACGTAGACAACAAGGCCATGCTGGCCTTGTGTCGAGAGCAGCGCCTGGAGCACAGAACGAAGCATATTGCTCTCCGTTACTTTCTTGCTCGCGAGCTGCAGCAGCGTGGTCAGCTGCGACTTGCGTATGTGGCCTCTGAGGCCAACACTGCTGATGTTTTCACCAAGGCACTTCCGCCTTGTGATCATCAGCGCTTCTGCACTCAGCTGGGTCTTGTGCCTGTCTTGCCTCACTTGCTCTCCTCTTGATCTTGCTTGTACTCTTGCATATATATATTCCTACTCTTGCTTGTTTAGCCTTATATATATATGTCTTCTCCTGCATGTGAACTGGCCTTGTGGCCTTGACCTTGTGCTCGGACTGTGTGGTGACTCTGTGATCCACCCTGAGCTTGCTTTGCTTTGCTTTGCTTGACTGGTCTTGTGACCCCTTGTTCTCCCCCACTTTGCCTATTGGGGTGTGTCAGAACATTATAGCTTATGCTTTTGTGTAGGCTGTAGTGGGGTATCCCATAGGGGGTACAACCTAATTAGGGTTAGTACTTGTACCCACTTCATTCATAGTTCATTCATTCTCGTTCTCATTTTCACAGGTCTCTCTCACATACTTAGCAGCATTATCCTATCCACTACGATCCTTCAGTTGTAACATCACGAAATAGCTTGCAAAAGTTTCGGACGGGCTTCAACTTTTTGTGCGAAATTGTCACTCCTATCGCTCTCGCTTGTACAGTAATTTCGCGTGGCAAAATTTGTCCCGACAATTTGTGAAGTGAGTCATTATCTACTGGGCCACACCCAACCAAAGTTAGGAAGCTTGAGGCAGTTTAGGCCTGTTTGGGACTCCGGTTTTAAGTAAGAATATGGTGAAGGCTGGATCAACTGCTTTTTGAGCAAATAATAATGTTATACGTTCTATATTCCATTCCCGACAGACATGGGCACGCACACAGCCACTTTCAACATTGCGCCATTTGCGTTTATCCCTCCCAACATCGCGCAACGCAGATTGTGCTGTCGTCGACGAGCTGATTGGCTCATCCCTCGACTCTGTCGTCACGCCGGTTCCTCGCCTCTCTTTCGCCATCCCTCAACTCGTCACCCTACATGCAACTCACTTCGTCGACAGCTTCGCGATCCATTCGCTTATCCCAATCCCCCTTGTTTCAGCAGGCCCTAACGAACAGGACCTCGGTGCCAGTCCCGACCAGCCTTACTCATCTACGCCCGTCGCAGCAGCCACTGTTTCCAACCTTCCCTTTCGCGAGCTATACCGATCTTTGCATCTGCTTCGCGTACTTCAGCTGTGTGTCGGGAATTCCCGAAGAGCATGGCAGCTCGAGTTCCTGCGCCACCGTGCGAACCATCACGTTCTTCCATGAGACCACCATTACCACCACCATCACGTTCTTCCATGAGACCACCATTACCACCACCATCACGTTCGCCGCGTTCTCTTGCGCTCCTCATCCTCCTCCTCCCGCTCCTCCTCTCATCGCATCTTTCCCTCCGCGCCTCGGCGCAAGGTCTCGTGTTGGTACCCCCTCCCCCCGACGACAGCGCGCCGATCGCAGCCCCGCCCGCCTCGAGGCAACCCGCCGTTTCGTCCCCATCGCCGCATCGCGAGTCGCCGCGCAGCTCGGCTGACGTGGACGAGGCCTACCCTGACGTGTCCTCGCTCTCAATTGGCCTGGCAAACAGCACGATCCCGTCGCTGGAGCATGCTGACGTGGAAGTGGTGGTTCCCAGGCGAGCGGGCGACGAGCACGAAGCGGGGGGGAGTGGGCGGGGAGGGGGAGGCGGAGAGGGGGAGGAAGGGGCGGAGGGGGGCTTTGCGAGCATGGATGCGATGCTGCAGTGGGCCATAGGTATGCACGGAGTATGCTGGCAATAGGTGGTGCAAGCAGCTGGTTGTGGGTCCGCTGGTATGAACCGTGTTCCCAGCATGTGTACGACCCGTGTTCCCAGCATGTGTACGACCCGTGTTCCCAGCATGTGTACGACCCGTGTTCCCAGCATGTGTACGACCCGTGTTCCCAGCATGTGTACGACCCGTGTTCCCAGCATGTGTACGACCCGTGTTCCCAGCATGTGTACGACCCGTGTTCCCAGCATGTGTACGACCCGTGTTCCCAGCATGTGTACGACCCGTGTTCCGTACGACCACACTCATGCTGGACGTCGCGCCTGCGTGCCTGTCACCACGTGCTATATGCCCCCCTCCTTGTCTGCGCACCAGCTGTGCTGCCATCTCGAGTCATGCGTGCCCTCTCCGTGTGTGAGCAGAGCGGTCGGACCCGGAGGCGTTGAGGCAGAGAGCCAAGGAGGTGGCGGAACTCACACCCGCGGAGCTGGAGGAGAAGCGAAAACACATCCGCGTGAGTTCCGCCCCGCCTCGCCCCGCCTCGCCTCGCCTCGCCTCGCCTCGCCTCGCCTCGCCTCGCCTCGCCTCGCCTTGCCTCGCGTGTGCTCTGTCTTTGCTCTTCTGCATCCTGGGTTTCCATCCCCCAATGCCACCCTCCGTGCATCCCCCAATGCCACCCTCCATGCATCCGCCCTCCCCGCCGCCCCCCCCAGGACGTGGTGGACGCCATGCGCATGCCGTCCCCCGGCGACCTCATGCGCGCCGCCATCGCCCACATCGCCCCCGCTGCTGCTGCTCATGGGGGGGCGCCAGGGGAGCAAGGGGGAGGGGAGGAGGAGCATGAGCGCGTGGTGGGGGCGCTGCAGGAGCTGGCGCAGCTGGTGGAGCCCGTGCATGCCGCCAACGGTGCGCTGCTCCCCTGCCATGCCACCTCGCCCTTGCTTGCCCGTGCTGCCACACCACACATGAGGAGGCGGATCCCATCTCATCCCTTCCCTGTGCTTCCATCTCTCCCATCTCTCGCCCTCCCACCTGCACTTCCATCAAACACCGTCCCCCTTCCACTTTAGACTTCTGCTCATTGCAACTTATCTTGTTCGGTGCTTCATGGTTGTGCTTTACTGTAAGCTAGGTTGTGTGAACAGCATTCGAGTGTGTGTCTGCAACATATCAACCCGTTCCGCTTGTTTCATTGCCCGCCCTGCCTGTCACCCTCCACCGTGCCCATGCATGTCTCCATGGCAGATCTGCACAAGCTGGGCGGGCTGGCACCGTTGGGGGTGCTGCTGGCGCATGGGAGCAGCCAGGTGCGCAGCATGGCGGCGCTGGTGGTGGGCAAGGCGGCACAGAACAACCGCCAAGTGCAGCACCAGGTGTGCTGCCCTGCACATCACTCGCCCCGCTCCTCCACACTTTCCTCGCCCATGCTCCCCAGACGTGCGTGCGCACCCATCCGGTTTGTCCCTTTTCCACATCCCCGTCACCCGCAACCCCCCTCCTCCACCGTCACCCGCAACCCCCCTCCTCCACCGTCACCCGCAACCCCCCTCCTCCACCGTCATGCGTGCGGCAGGTGATGGGCACCGGTGTACTCCAAGCACTCTTCACGCGCCTGCACTCACCGCACCCCAACCCCCCGCTGGGCGAGGACGAGCACGCCAGGCTGCTCTTCGCCCTCTCTGCTGCCATCCGTGGCCACGTGGCAGCCACCCATTGGTTCTACCGCCACGGTGGTGTGGCCCTGCTGGCGCGCCTGCTGTCCCTGCCATCCTCCCGCACGCAGCGCCGGGCGCTCTTTCTGCTCGCTGACCTGGCGGATAGTGCAGGGGCGCGGGCAGGGGGTGGGGGGGAGGGTGGGGACGCGGAGCGAGAGAAAGAGGGGGTGAGAATTGCCAAAGGGTTGAAGGGTGAGGGGGACAGTGAGGAGGCAAATATGGGGGAGAAGCAAGGAGGGGAGGAACAGGGGGAGGAGGAGCAAGGAAGAGAAGAGTGGTTGGCAGATGAGGCGCTGATGAGGGCAGTGGTGGGGCTGCTAGGCGGGGGCGAGGGGGAGAGTGTGGAGGGGCGGGGGGCAGTGTGGAGGCGCAGTGAGGACGGCAGCAGCACGTGGGACCTGGACATGGTGGATAAGGTGGGACCTGGACATGGTGGATAAGGTGGGACCTGGACATGGTGGATAAGGTGGGACCTGGACATGGTGGATAAGGTGGGACCTGGACATGGTGGATAAGGTGGGACCTGGACATGCTGGATAAGGTGGGACCTGGACATGGTGATAAGGTGGGACCTGGACATGCTGGATAAGGTACGCGGGGTGCATGGTGTTTTAGCACATGCTCGATGCATTCACGCGCAAAAAACTCTTTGTGCTTTTGTTTTGTTCTGTTCTTTTGGGTGGCGGGTTTCATTTGTCACCTTCTTCCATGTCTGCTTGCTTCAATATGCACTCATTCCCACCTGCGCCCACCTGCTCTCTCCACGCTCCCCTCCCCCCACCCGCACAGGCAGCAGCAGCGCTGCACAGCCTGCTGGCCGCCTCCCCCGCCACGCGCCGAGTGCTGCTTGCATGCTGCCGCCCCGAGCTGGCAGTGGAGCGCGTGAGGGCCGCGCTGCAGGCGCATGTGGGGGAGGTGCAGCGGGGGGGGGGACGAGGCGGAGTATGAGCAGGAGGTTGTGGGGCGCCTGGCCTCACTGCTGCTCGCCCTGGAGGCAGCTAGGGGAGGCGCTGATGCTCGGTCTCAGTAGCTGCCCCACACCCAGTACAGCACAACCTGGCTTGGCTAAGAGATGTACACCGAGGAATGCAAGAGTGTCATTTGATTTTATTAGAATGGTCTAAGCTACTAGCGGAAGCTATAGTAATCTCAGAATCTCCTAAAGCCTAGGAATTTTAGCACCCAACTTGGACATGAACCATGTTAGAACCAAAGTGATATCCAAGAAGTGAAGTTCCAACAAGACAGAACCCTAACTTATACGGTTTGGGAAGTGATCCATTCTAAAGAGTGTACAGCACAAGTTCTCCCAACCCAACCAATGTATTCTACCCTACAGAAGTGTAAATCTACCACTACATATGTTTATTGGAGCAACCCAACAGATTTGACCACCCTCTAGGCTTGGTAAGGGCAGTTCCATGAAGAGGAGAAACTAGTGAAACCAAGCATACCGGTACCATAAAGACTAGGCGGCGAGGATATTTACCGTATGTTGAGGTGCAATTGCAATACTCCCCATCTCACATTCTGCCAACTCGGTCAGTACCGTATGTCAAAGTCACTCAACCCCATCAAGTACTACCCGGTTGTCTGTTGTCTTCATCCCTGCCTTTCCCCCCCATTCCTCCCCCATGCGACTTGCGAATCATGAGCTTCAACCCCCTCACGCCTCCATCACCAGCACCACCACCACCAGGAGCGCCGCCAGAACCAGCAACACTAGCACCGCCAACACCAGCAGAACCATCACCACCATCACCACCACCACCACCACCACCAGTGCCAGCAGCACTTTCAGAAGCACCGACCGCAGCTGCTTCTAGCTGCTGCCTGCTGTCTGCCTCCTGCCTGCCAGCCGTGACAGAGGCATCCCAAGGCCTCCTTTTGGACCCATCCTTGCCGGCCGCCCCCTCCCCATCTCCATCCCCACTGTCCCCCCTCTTCCCCTCCCCATCTCCATCCCCACTGTCCCCCCTCTTCCCCTCCCCATCTCCCACGCTATCCCCCTTCCCACCCCCCTTCCCATCCTCTTTCCCTTCCACACCTTCCCCAACACTCCTCCCTCCTTCGCCCCTCCCCCTCCCGCTATTGCTACCTGCAGGCCCCCCCCTGCCCGCCCCCCCAATAAGAACATCCAAGCCCGCCAAACCCCCTATACTGCCACCCCCATGCGTTTGTTTGTCTTCCAGAGACAGCTGTTGAGGCACTTCAAGGCCCAGACCCTCCGTACTAACACCACTCCCATGCGTCTGCTTAACTTCCTTATCTTCCTTCCTTCTCTCCTTTGTTACCCCTTCCTCCGCCCCCACTTTTTCCTCCCCATGTTTCTCCCCAGCTTGCTCCTTCCCCTCACCATCCACCTCCTTTCCCCTGTCTCCATTGTTATCCTTACACTTTTCCTCCACTGCTTCCCTCTGCACCTCCCGATGCCTTTTCCTATGCCCCTCAAATTTTTGTGCTCCACCCTCCTTGGTCAAACCATCCACACCCTCGCCCCTCCCCTGATCACCCTCTTCTTGCAAGCCTCCCTCACTCCTCTCCTCAACCCCCTTTTGCGTCACACCACTCACACCACTCTTTCCTCTCCTTGCCTTGTCCACCTCCTCTCTCTCCCTCCTCTGCCTTCCCTTGCCCCCTTCCCTCCCCTCCTCCTCCTTCCCTCCCTTCCTCCTCCTCTTGGTGTGCGTCACCTCTTCATGGAAATCTTCACCCTCTCCTGCTTCCCCTCCTTTCCTCTCGCCCAACTCCTTAGCCTTTTCTTCTGAATCTCGTTCCTTCATACTTCTCTCATTGTTTCTTTTCTCCTCCCTTCCCGAACCATCCTTCTCCCCCTTTTCGCCCCATTCTTTTGCTTCCTCGTGCTCTCCCTTCCTCTTCCTCCTCTCCCTCCCCTCACCCCTACTTTCCCCCTCATGTCGCCCCGCCTGCTCCTCCACCCTTGCACCTTCCCCTCTCTTCCTATTCAGCCTTATCCTCACTCGAATCCCCTCCTCCCCTCTTCCCTCACCCCCCTCCTCCCCATCAACCACCTTTGCCTCCTCCTCTTCCTTGCCACTCTTCCATCTCCTCCTCTTCCTCTCCCCTCCCCCCCTCCCCTTCCCCCACCTCCTCCTCCCCTACCACCTTCCTCCTCTTCCTCTTTCCTAAGCCCTCTTCTCCTCCCCCTTTCTCCTTTCCAACAGATCCTGCAACATACCCCACCCCCACCCTCCTTCCCTTCCTACCAACACCATCACCACCACCCAATCCTCCTCCCCGTTCCCCCCCACTCTCCTCTCCCTCACTCTCTGAAAACGGAGGAGGAGCCTTTTCCCTCCGCTCCTCCTCCTCCTGGTCAACGCCCTCTTGCCCATCCCCTCTCCCCTCACCACCTCCACCTTCCCACTCTCCTCTCCCCTTCCGCTCCGCGTCCCCTTCCTGCTGCTCCTCCCTCGCATGAAGCAAAGCCATTCCCCTCTTTCGCTGCCCCCTCTTTCTCGACCAAGTGCTTTCCTCCGCCTCCTCTGCTGCCCCCTCCCCGCCTGCCTTTGCTCCTCCCTTGCTTTGCTCCACACGGCGTTTGAATCGAGACCAGAGCTCTTGAGTGGCCTCTGCTGCTGTTGCAACCTGCAAAAGGTAGAGAGAAAGACATGCCAAGCCACACGACAACTTGAAAAATCGGCACTCTAACACCACAGGACCAGAGCTTTTGAAAGGCCTCTGCTGCCGTTACAACCTGTGGTGAGGGAAAGAGAAAGACAATACCAATGTTACACAAGAACTTCAGAGGCTGCACTCTCTGCTTTGAATCAATACCAGTGCTCCTCTTTGGAGGTATGTGGGCGCCTAAAAACTCGCCTAAGTGGCCCCTGCTGCCGTTGCGACCCGTGATGAGGGACAAAGAAAGGCACACAACACCACAAGTTGACGTTTCAAGGCAGCACTTGATAGAGAAAAGGAGGAGCAATACAAGGGCGCAGCAACGCAATGCAAGTGACAGGGCAATGCAAGTGAGAAGGCAATGCAAGTGACAGGGCAATGCAAGTGAGAAGGCAATGCAAGTGACAGGGCAATGCAAGTGACAGGGCAATGCAAGTGACAGGGCAATGCAAGTGAGAAGGCAATGCAAGTGACAGGGCAATGCAAGTGAGAGGGCAATGGAACTCACACAAGGAGCATGGCCCAGGCAGGCAGGGCACGTATAGGAGAGCTCTGAGTTCGTCTGATACTGCATGTACTGCTCATCGCTGCTTGGAGGGCACACCAGCGAATCAAGAGAATGCATCGCAAATCAAACAAAAGGTGTGAAAAAAAAAGGTGCGAAACAGCTGTGAAAAAAGTGTGGAAGAAGGTGTGTGTTCTGATTCTGCGATAACTGGTGACCATTGCGTTCCGGATTAGTAGCCCTCAACCACGCACGGCCACGTGAATCAAGCACGGCCACGTGAATCAAGCACGGCCACGTGAATCAAGCACAGCCACGTGAATCAAGCACGGCCACGTGAATCAAGCACGGCCACGTGAATCAAGCACGGCCACGTGAATCAAGCACGGCCACGTGAATCAAGCACGGCCACGTGAATCAAGCACGGCCACGTGAATCAAGCACGGCCACGTGAATCAAGCACGGCCAAGTGAATCAAGCACGGCCAAGTGAATCAAGCACGGCCACGTGAATCAAGCACGGCCAAGTGAATCAAGCACGGCCAAGTGAATCAAGCACGGCCAAGAGAATCAAGCACGGCCAAGTGAATCAAGCACGGCCACGTGAATCAAGCACGGCCAAGCGAATCAAGCACGGCCAAGTGAATCAAGCACGGCCAAGTGAATCAAGCACGGCCAAGTGAATCAAGCACGGCCAAGTGAATCAAGCACGGCCAAGTGAATCAAGCACGGCCAAGTGAATCAAGCACGGCCAAGTGAATCAAGCACGGCCAAGTGAATCAAGCACGGCCAAGTGAATCAAGCACGGCCACGTGAATCAAGCACGGCCACGTGAATCAAGCACGGCCAAGTGAATCAAGCACGGCCAAGTGAATCAAGCACGGCCAAGTGAATCAAGCACGGCCAAGTGAATCAAGCACGGCCAAGTGAATCAAGCACGGCCAAGTGAATCAAGCACGGCCAAGTGAATCAAGCACGGCCAAGTGAATCAAGCACGGCCAAGTGAATCAAGCACGGCCAAGTGAATCAAGCACGGCCAAGTGAATCAAGCACGGCCAAGTGAATCAAGCACGGCCAAGTGAATCAAGCACGGCCACGTGAATCAAGCACGGCCACGTGAATCAAGCACGGCCAAGTGAATCAAGCACGGCCAAGTGAATCAAGCACGGCCAAGTGAATCAAGCACGGCCAAGTGAATCAAGCACGGCCAAGTGAATCAAGCACGGCCAAGTGAATCAAGCACGGCCAAGTGAATCAAGCACGGCCAAGTGAATCAAGCACGGCCAAGTGAATCAAGCACGGCCAAGTGAATCAAGCACGGCCAAGTGAATCAAGCACGGCCACGTGAATCAAGCACGGCCACGTGAATCAAGCACGGCCACGTGAATCAAGCACGGCCAAGTGAATCAAGCACGGCCAAGTGAATCAAGCACGGCAGCAAGCACGGCCAAGTGAATCAACCACGGCCACGTGAATCAAGCACAGCCAAGTGAATCAAGCACGGCCAAGTGAATCAAGCACGGCCACGTGAATCAAGCACGGCCAAGTGAATCAAGCACGGCCAAGTGAATCAAGCACGGCCACATGAATCAAGCACGGCCAAGTGAATCAAGCACGGCCAAATGAATCAAGCACGGCCACGTGAATCAACCACGGCCATGTGAATCAAGCACGGCCACGTGAATCAAGCACGGCCACGTGAATCAAGCACGGCCAAGTGAATCAAGCACGGCCACGTGAATCAAGCACGGCCACGTGAATCAAGCACGGCCACGTGAATCAAGCACGGCCACGTGAATCAAGCACGGCCACGTGAATCAAGCACGGCCACGTGAATCAAGCACGGCCAAGTGAATCAAGCACGGCAAAGTGAATCAAGCACGGCCAAGTGAATCAAGCACGACCAAGTGAATCAAGCACGGCGTGAATCAAGCACGGCCAAGTGAATCAAGCACGGCCACGTGAATCAAGCACGGCCACGTGAATCAAGCACGGCCAAGTGAATCAAGCACGGCCAAGTGAATCAAGCACGGCCAAGTGAATCAAGCACGGCCAAGTGAATCAAGCACGGCCAAGTGAATCAAGCACGGCCAAGTGAATCAAGCACGGCCACGTGAATCAAGCACGGCCAAGTGAATCAAGCACGGCCAAGTGAATCAAGCACGGCCACGTGAATCAAGCACGGCCACGTGAATCAAGCACGGCCAAGTGAATCAAGCACGGCCAAGTGAATCAAGCACGGCCAAGTGAATCAAGCACGGCCAAGTGAATCAAGCACGGCCAAGTGAATCAAGCACGGCCAAGTGAATCAAGCACGGCCAAGTGAATCAAGCACGGCCAAGTGAATCAAGCACGGCCAAGTGAATCAAGCACGGCCAAGTGAATCAAGCACGGCCAAGTGAATCAAGCACGGCCAAGTGAATCAAGCACGGCCAAGTGAATCAAGCACGGCCACGTGAATCAAGCACGGCCACGTGAATCAAGCACGGCCAAGTGAATCAAGCACGGCCAAGTGAATCAAGCACGGCCAAGTGAATCAAGCACGGCCAAGTGAATCAACCACGGCCACGTGAATCAAGCACAGCCAAGTGAATCAAGCACGGCCAAGTGAATCAAGCACGGCCACGTGAATCAAGCACGGCCAAGTGAATCAAGCACGGCCAAGTGAATCAAGCACGGCCACATGAATCAAGCACGGCCAAGTGAATCAAGCACGGCCAAATGAATCAAGCACGGCCACGTGAATCAACCACGGCCATGTGAATCAAGCACGGCCACGTGAATCAAGCACGGCCACGTGAATCAAGCACGGCCAAGTGAATCAAGCACGGCCACGTGAATCAAGCACGGCCACGTGAATCAAGCACGGCCACGTGAATCAAGCACGGCCACGTGAATCAAGCACGGCCACGTGAATCAAGCACGGCCACGTGAATCAAGCACGGCACGTGAATCAAGCACGGCCAAGTGAATCAAGCACGGCAAAGTGAATCAAGCACGGCCAAGTGAATCAAGCACGACCAAGTGAATCAAGCACGGCGTGAATCAAGCACGGCCAAGTGAATCAAGCACGGCCACGTGAATCAAGCACGGCCACGTGAATCAAGCACGGCCAAGTGAATCAAGCACGGCCAAGTGAATCAAGCACGGCCAAGTGAATCAAGCACGGCCAAGTGAATCAAGCACGGCCAAGTGAATCAAGCACGGCCAAGTGAATCAAGCACGGCCACGTGAATCAAGCACGGCCAAGTGAATCAAGCACAGCCAAGTGAATCAAGCACGGCCACGTGAATCAAGCACGGCCACGTGAATCAAGCACGGCCAAGTGAATCAAGCACGGCCAAGTGAATCAAGCACGGCCAAGTGAATCAAGCACGGCCAAGTGAATCAAGCACGGCCAAGTGAATCAAGCACGGCCAAGTGAATCAAGCACGGCCAAGTGAATCAAGCATGGCCAAGTGAATCAAGCACGGCCATGTGAATCAAGCACGGCCAAGTGAATCAAGCACGGCCAAGTGAATCAAGCACGGCCAAGTTAATCAAGCACGGCCACGTGAATCAAGCACGGCCAAGTGAATCAAGCACGGCCACGTGAATCAAGCACGGCCACGTGAATCAAGCACGGCCACGTGAATCAAGCACGGCCAAGTGAATCAAGCACGGCCACGTGAATCAAGCACGGCCACGTGAATCAAGCACGGCCAAGTGAATCAAGCACGGCAAAGTGAATCAAGCACGGCCAAGTGAATCAAGCACGACCAAGTGAATCAAGCACGGCGTGAATCAAGCACGGCCACGTGAATCAAGCACGGCCACGTGAATCAAGCACGGCCACGTGAATCAAGCACGGCCACGTGAATCAAGCAGGGCCACGTGAATCAAGCACGACCAAGTGAATCAAGCACGGCGTGAATCAAGCACGGCCACGTGAATCAAGCACGGCCACGTGAATCAAGCACGGCCACGTGAATCAAGCACGGCCACGTGAATCAAGCATGGCCACGTGAATCAAGCACGGCCACGTGAATCAAGCACGGCCAAGTGAATCAAGCACGGCCACGTGAATCAAGCACGGCCACGTGAATCAAGCACGGCCACGTGAATCAAGCACGGCCAAGTGAATCAAGCACGGCCACGTGAATCAAGCACGGCCACGTGAATCAAGCACGGCCACGTGAATCAAGCACGGCCACGTGAATCAAGCACGGCCAAGTGAATCAAGCACGGCCACGTGAATCAAGCACGGCCACGTGAATCAAGCACGGCCAAGTGAATCAAGCACGGCCAAGTGAATCAAGCACGGCCAAGTGAATCAAGCACGGCCAAGTGAATCAAGCACGGCCAAGTGAATCAAGCACGGCCAAGTGAATCAAGCACGGCCACGTGAATCAAGCACGGCCAAGTGAATCAAGCACGGCCAAGTGAATCAAGCACGGCCACGTGAATCAAGCACGGCCACGTGAATCAAGCACGGCCAAGTGAATCAAGCACGGCCAAGTGAATCAAGCACGGCCAAGTGAATCAAGCACGGCCAAGTGAATCAAGCACGGCCAAGTGAATCAAGCACGGCCAAGTGAATCAAGCACGGCCAAGTGAATCAAGCATGGCCAAGTGAATCAAGCACGGCCATGTGAATCAAGCACGGCCAAGTGAATCAAGCACGGCCAAGTGAATCAAGCACGGCCAAGTTCATCAAGCACGGCCACGTGAATCAAGCACGGCCAAGTGAATCAAGCACGGCCACGTGAATCAAGCACGGCCACGTGAATCAAGCACGGCCACGTGAATCAAGCACGGCCAAGTGAATAAAGCACGGCCACGTGAATCAAGCACGGCCACGTGAATCAAGCACGGCCAAGTGAATCAAGCACGGCAAAGTGAATCAAGCACGGCCAAGTGAATCAAGCACGACCAAGTGAATCAAGCACGGCGTGAATCAAGCACGGCCACGTGAATCAAGCACGGCCACGTGAATCAAGCACGGCCACGTGAATCAAGCACGGCCACGTGAATCAAGCAGGGCCACCTGAATCAAGCACGACCAAGTGAATCAAGCACGGCGTGAATCAAGCACGGCCACGTG